TTTCTTTTTTTTTTCCTTGCACTTAGAGTATTTCAAGTAATCTACTCACTTCTTCTGAAATACCTAATCCCAGCTGACTGCATTATAAACAGTGTTTTATTTATACCTGAGGAGAGCTCTCAGTTCTGCAGTGAGTGATGAGACACACTTCAGCATGTATTTGACTGGGGTTTTTTTTTTATTTTAAGTATAATGGAATTCTACTGATTTGCTTATAGTCGTATTTTAAATAAATCATATCACCCAAGACTTTTAGAAAGTAAAATCAGTGGAGACTAATTTAAAATGTTCCTTCATTTAAATGTTCCCTTAAAAGGAACATTTCCATCATTTAAGAATTGCGTTTGCAATAACAGATTTAAGAATTGTAGCAGCTGCTGTGCACTAATTCATTTTCCTGTGCTGCATTTTGTATGACTGCATTTAGAGAAAATATTTATTCTCTAATAGAGTAAATGCTGGTCCAGTGATCCACTGTACACACCTAGATTTATAGTTCACTTTTTCCAAGAAATGGCTTTCAGAAGGGCCTTGCAGATGTCATGTAGAAATACTCAGTTGTGTTAAGGAGGAAGCACTTTGTCCTGCACACTTTGGAGGAGTAATCCTGTGTGCATTGGGCTATTTGCAGTTAAGGCTGATGTTGTCTCTATCAACTTATTCTGGTGTTGAGTAATAAATAAGCATAGGCCAGTGTCTAGTTTATGGTGTTAGAAAGAAAAATAACTAAGTCCTAGCAAAGGTTCCTGAAGAAGAGTTGTGCTGAATTCTCTAGTTACCGAATCACACACAGTATGTTGGTATTTAAAATATACTTGACCATAATGCTAACAATATCATCACCTCATTGGTTTTACAGAATCTTTCTCCTTATATTGGTGCCTCTTGGCAACTTCTGTCTGTAACACTTGGGGTATAAAGTTTGGTTGTGATACTTTTCTTGTCACCCCTGCTTAGTTGTTCCCAGACCCACGTGCAGTCACATGGACAGAGAGCAAGGCAGACTAAAGATATTTGATAGAAATTTTTCTGAATTGCTTGAGTCACTTAAAGATTTTCCATCCGAGAAGGGCATATGGTTTTGAATTTCCAGTTTTGTTTTGATTAAAGCTTTTCTTTAGGAATGTAACTTTTTGAAGAAGCATTGTTAAGATGCTTTCTATCACATTGCTGGTTTTAATAAGAGTCTTAGGCTGTAAGTTTTAGTTTTGTGCTGAAAAATTAGTATATGGAAACATCTAGATTTTCCATTAAAAGTGAAATGCAACATAAAGTAAATAACATTTGTGGGTGTATCTCTGCTTTGATCTTGTGGATCTTTCAGGACCCACAGTAAATGCCCTCTGTAAAATAGCTACATCATATTCCAGAAGGATTGGTCCATTTAGTATCTAATTAATCATTTAGGACTTTATCCAGCCAAAACCTCAATTTCTGTCACAAATTCCAGAGCCATCCCTGTGTGGTTCCCATGAATACAAACAATAGCTCAGGGCCTAAAAAGCTTCTCAGCTCTGATTCCAGGAAACCCAGACCCACCATCCTGACAGTTCCTATTGTAAGGAAATTGATGACAGTGCTTTGGGAGTGTCATACAGAAACATTTTTTCCTTTTGCTTGCTCACACTGCATTATCAGAGCAAGGGGAGTGACAGATGACACCTGCTATAGGCATTTGCTTTGATTCACTAATATGATATGAATAGAAGAGGAACAGTCTAGTTTGCCTCCTCACCTTCACTTACAAAATCAGAACTTTTAACAAAGAAAACTTCCTACTTTTTTTTGTGTCGCTGTCAGAACACCTGTGTGGTTATATTAGGGTTACGTTATGTGGCTGTTTATTGACTCCTTGAGGAGATGCACAGCTGATGCCCCAGGTTCCAGCTTCCTCTTTCTCATTACTTACCACATAAGTCATCTCTTGCAGCATTTAGGCAGGCATGGTCCTCTAACAGAAACCCTCGGGCGACGCTAGATGTTGCTCTAGAAGCAGTATGTTGTGGCTGAATTATTGAAACAGGTTTGGAAGCACAGCTAGCTTCTGAGCTAGCTTTTGAAACCTAATCAACCTCTCTAAGTGCTGTTCTGCATCATGTAGCACTAAGAGGTTCACTCAGGACTCTGTAGCCTCCTGCTACAATAAGTTTGCAGGTTTACCCTTGCTGGCTACTAAGTATGAGTAGTACATACATTTGGGGCTCCTGTTTTGATGACTTCCTGAGATCTGTTGAAGCATAAAGCATTGTTAGCAGTGAAAGAAGTATCCAGTGCAAAACTTCAGTAGAGTAAGTCTTTCAGCAGTTACTGAAATGGCCAGTGTGTCACCCCTGGGGAATTTCTGAAGCCTCCATTGCACAGTATCTAAAGATTTACAGGTAGATTAGATGTCTCAGTTCAGTTTTTGTATACTTTGGGACTGCTCTGTTGTATTCAGTCTTCAAGAAGCTCTGTTTCTCTCTGGCCATAATTTCTGGGTGTTACATTTCTTGCTAATGTAAAAAAAATTAATCAGAGGGGATAGTAACAGCTTTTTAGCTTATCATAGTTTGTCACTGTATAACCTCCCTCAGTACAGTCTGGAGCAAATCCATCGAGTATGAATCACCTTTTCTTCTTCATGTGTTCTTGAACTTTGACATTTTTCTTTGTTCAGCTCTGTAGGCAAATCATGAATGGGCAAGTCCCTGGTAGCTTGACATCATTAAGATGTTCAGGGTGGACATCACTACAACTTCATCAAGTCAACATTCAACCTTCACTGCCCATTCTCCTTATTTCTAGCACATAAAAGAATGGTAAAACTTTCAAACTCTTAGTGAGTGGGAGCCATTCTTTTTTTTTTTTGATGTAAGCTGTCAAGGAATCAGCTTTAAGTTTCTAGGCATTGGTTATAAGGCCCTGTTCAAGATATCAGAATGGATATGACTCAGGCAGATTCTTCTGTGGTTAGACAGTCCTTACATTTATGTTAAAAATAAACATAGAGAAATTTGGAAAGCTAAGTTTCATACTGTTTATTTCTGGCCTCTGCTTGCTTTTGGTTTTCAGCCAGACAACCCTGTGCATAGTCATTTCCCACGTAAATAACTGAGATTGGCTGTCACTTCCAGCACGAGTAATATCTACTTAATTTAACAGGACTAACTCTGCTTAACTGCAGCAAACGAGAACTGTTTTTTTGTTGGTTTAGTTTTACATACTTTTTTGCAGGATTGAACCTACAGTGTTACCTAATTCAAACTAACCATCTTCTGCCATAGTCATTCTAACTCCCCATCAAGTGTCATTTGTTTGGTTATGTTGGGTGCTATTTAAGATGAGGTATTAAATTAAGACTTCACAACTGTTGATGTTTCTGGGGAAAATTGTCCATCTTAAGTCATCATTTTTTAATTCCTCTTCTTGCTAGTTTATATAACTTAAGCATTAGGAAATTTTGCTTAAGTTGAAGTATGTGGCAGTTAAAAGGATTTGTCAGAAGAAAGTTTGTAACACTAGAAAAGGTTTATAGCATTAAGCTAAAATTGGTAGTTTAGGGAAATTTGTTCTCTCCTTGTCAATTATTAACATCAGTGCTAATATTATATTTCCTAAATTATTATAGAGTCATATCCTCAATTATTGTCGTAACTGCCATGACTCTTGCAGTAACTAATACTAGTCTGCACTCTTTTTCCATGAGGGCTTTGTGTAAGAAATGGATACAGTATTACCTCTGGTTTTTTTAGTAAAAATACATTACCTGTAACTGCATATTGTGAGGAAATCTACAATCGTTTAAGTAAAATAAGTATGTTTGAGATTTGCAGTAGAACCTGTGTGACATAATATGGTAAATTCCATCTGCTTCCTAATGTGCATATTTAGGGGGTTCTTAGGTGATCTTATTTTTTCACTGAGGTCCTTAGTGCTCATTAACTGCTGTATTTTTTACTCTGTTCCATTATTATTAATGGGAAGGAAAGTTAAATCTAGCTCAAACTAGGAAACTATACAATTTTTGTTGGGCACCCAGACATCAGTTCCCTAGGGAGCATTTTCCAGTGACTTAAGAGTAATTTCTGGTGCTTCCAACAATTTAACATATGAGTAGAACTGGAGTGGATTCTTAGGAGCTTAGAATTGGGGGAGAAGGGAAGGTCCTGCTGCTTCTTGAGGTCTTAAAACACTGGGAAACAAAAACTTGTGGAAGTTATATGATAAAAACTAATAGTAACAGAATGAGTTGTTATCTTTGGCTTAGCTAGTTAGCATTAAGCCCAAAATTTCTGTGATATCTACACAGTCCAAAGGTAGAGGCTAAACATCTCTTCAGACCTTCCTGAGGAATCAAAAACTTGGTAGCTTTTTTGTTCAGGATGAAACAAGGAAAGCCTTTAAAGACTTTTTAAGGTAACTACATCTTTGCAATAGCCTCTGTGGTAGTCTGAGAAGTGTGGGGTGTATAGGATGAACTCGGGATCAAGGCATGTCCAGTTTTTCTCTGCTCATGTCAGATCTAAAATTTCTTCTAGAGGAGAGCCCCTGAGATAATAAGCTGCAAGAACAGCTCTGCTAAATATGTTAGAACCAGAAACTGATTTTTTAAACCATCTGTCCAACTCAGGATTGGGATTGAACAACATAGGGCACAGAAAAGAGCAGAAACCTGCAGTTCTTCTAAATTCTGATAAAATCACAGTGAGGTAATATTCTAAATAAGGAGATCCTTCTTGAAAAAAAGAGAATTTTCTGAACATTATTTAGCACTGTTTGCTGGCTGTCAATTAAAATGGCTTTTAAAGAAAACTTCTATGCAGATAATTGCAACTGAAATTGAAAAGTTATCCTGGGCTCTGTAGGGCAAGTGCCACACAGTGTGTCTCACTCTGCTTTTCTGCTTACACAGCTAATCACAGGCTTTCCAGAAAGCTTCACCTGCTCTACCTCATAGATCTCTATTGCAGCAACTGATTACCTGAAATGTATTAAAAGACTTTTTCATTTTCCTTTTATAGATCATTTCCAGTGACCCATTCTGGGTGCCAACGACTGAGGAGGAGTATTTGCACTTTGGGGAAAAGGCAGACTCGGAGAACCAGGCGCGCAAGTACATGAACGCAGTAAGAAAGAGAAAGGGGCTGTATGTAGAAGAAAAAATTGTGGAGCACGCTGAGAAGCAAAGAACTCTTAGTAGAAATAAATAGCTGTGTCTGCCTCCTTTCTCCCCTGACTCAGCTAAATGTGGGTGGATCATTTTATGTGCAGCAGATTCCAAATTTCATCTGGACTTTGTTCTTTGACACCAGTTTTCTTACACTCTATGTCTGTGGCTTATGTTTTAATAAACTTAAGCCTTTCCAAATTTTATACAGAGAAAATAGTTTATTTATTTAAATAAAATATAGGCATAGTCATTGCAATTGGTCTCAATTTTTAAAATTTACTGCCCTATTGAACTTCCTGTCACAAGGATTAGGAACTCCTAATTTAATTTGTTTCTTCTGATTTATCACATGTAATTGCAGTTAGAGCTGGTTACTAGCTTGTTGCAAATAAACTATGCACTGAATTTAGCTCCTTAATGGTTTTGACTCTTTTTTAAAGTCTTCTAGTTACCTATATGCAAATAGATGTAAACCTATTAGGAGTTTCTAAGCTATTTATTTTACTCCGTTCCTCATCTGAGCAGTTATCTAAAGCAGTAATGTATCTTCTTTAAATCAGATGGCAAAAATAGTACATGTGGAAGACTAAGCACTGCAAAAACACCAAGCAAGAATTCTCTTTTTTCCCTCCTTAGAACACATCTTATTAAAAAGTTCATAGGATTGTCCAAAGCTGCTTTCTTTGAACTAGACACACAGCTACTTCTGCCAGCCCTGTGTGAGTGTTTACAGACTCTTCCAGAAATTCCATTCAGCCTGTTGTCTTGAATTCGGTGGAAAGGAACACTTGCAAAAGTATACAAAATCTCTTGCTATTTGCAGGTGTCTAGGATACAGAAGGTTTCAAAATGATTCAGACCAAAACTAACAGGGAAAAAAAGTCCTCACAGGGCATAAGTTTTAGTTGCGAAAAGTTGGAAACCTTGGATAGAAGATGATAGAATCATAGAACATCCTGTGTTGGAAGGGACCCACAAGGATCATTGAAGTCCAACTCCTGATAGATAAACATGATGCATGTATTATCTTTTCATTTGGCTGCTCAGAACAAGAAGTCTAGAAGGTTAAGGCTGAATAGATAGGTGTCCTTGAAGAGTTTCTGATATTAGTTAAATGAGTTGGAAATGGGTCTTTTAATCTTGTGCCAACTGATTCTCTGCTACCTCTTGTCTTTGCTAATTGCTAGAAGTTCTGTTTCCGAGAACCGTGCAAAGAGGTTGTCCTTTTCTTTCCAGGAGATAAGTATTTCTTTACTTTATGATTGCCTTGTACTCCTCTAGCACCTACTTGGTCTTCCTGAGTAACTGTTGTCTGTGTATTTGTTAATGCAGCAGGAAGAGTTTACTCATATCAGTTTTGCTTCTTCTGGAAAAGAAAACTGTTACTTGTTTCACAGGCAGAATGATTCTGAATACTTAACTTTCATTTTAACTAGCAGGCTTTTCGTTTTTTGACTTGTTTGCTTTCCTTATGGAAATGTTTCCTTATAAGATTATATCTGACTTCTTCAAGCAAACAAATGTACTAAACATATACTAAATGGGCTAAAACATAGTTCCCAAATTAGGTCTGAATATAATCTTGACTCCCTACTAACCTTAGAAACTAACTTCTGTTTGAGACACTAATACTTGGAAGCC